GGCATATTCATCGCCCTGATGACGGAGGCAGTATGACCTCTGAAACGTTGGTTAACATCGACCAGACTACACAGCGCAACAACCCAGAAGACAGAAATCTTCATATTCACCGCTGTGAGAACCTCAAGTCTTACATATTAGATAAGTTCAAATATAATAAAATTACAGTCATTAGGAAAACCATTAACTATTTACCTGATTTCCCAAGGTGTAAGATAGATGCCATGATTAGCATTGCCTCAGAACAGAAACGATTTTGCTTCTTGTTATCTGATACGAGTGACATGTATCGGAGAGCAAGCTTGGCTAGAGTGGTGCCAAGAGCAGCTCCAATAAAGAAATCACCATCCATCATGTACTGACGCAAAGGAGGGCGGGCTTCCCCCTTCTTGGATACACTAAGATAGATACAAACATTAATCAATACTATATGAAGAAGTACAAATGATCTGTACCCTAAACTCGGCAAAAAAAATTAGTTACGAAACGTGCGCAGTTTTGCAATTCTGGCATATTTGTCAGAACTTTACCTTTGTGAATGGCAAGAGAACTCCCCACATTATTGTTGTCTAATCATAGTCAAAAATGGAATTTGACAAATTTTAGTAACACTCCTTAATCCATTTTATAAAAATTATTCAGCTGTTCTCAAGATGTTCAGGAAGAATGAGCAGAGAAAGTTTAGTCAGTGCTCTGTGGGGTTACACATGTGTACAACAGCGCAATAGTACAACAGGCTCAGACATTACCTGGCAGTGTTGAAGGCTGACTGGGTAGCATATGTTCCATCTGATGTGACTAATTTCTGTACTGGAACTTGCTGCTGCATCATGTCCTCGTCTACCTTCTCACCAGTTGCACGCCGGATCTCATCATCCACTAATGGAATCTAACAGATTGTGAAGAAACTCTTATAGCATGTCCTTAACTTATACAAAGTAATGGACCTATCTCACAATTATGTAAAAATTGATATAACTAATTTAATTTAATATACATTTATCCACTTAACAGGCAACAAGATTTTTGTGAAATAGCACTAATTTTCGCAGCACAAGATGCCAACAAGAATGTTTAATAAAACTAAAGAGAAACTTCTTACCAAGCTACACTTTTCCCATAACAAGCTGAAAACCCATTAACTGAAGTACTTCTAGAAATGGTATGTATTTACAAATGAAAATCAGCAAATAACATGAGGGTCATTCTATGTGTAAATATCTATCTATAATAGATGTCAGCTGGTGATCATTTTTTAAAATCACCATTAGACTGCTGGCCCCCACTTAATGGTACCTGCACCTTGTCATGGTGGTGGGGCTTGAGTACTTCAGTGACCCCAAGAGCTATGCTGGCAGTAGCATTGCTACTGGTAGGGCATCCCTAGCCAGATTGGTCGAGGGGAAGAGGTCAAACTAAGACAGGTAACCTGGTCGCAAGGCTAACAATCTTGCACCGTAAAAAGGAAGATGTTTCAAAACCTCGATCAAAGCCTCGGATGGACCTAACAGAGGACCGAATGGAAGAGGAGAATTGAGGAGGCCATGAACCGAATACGGACTGGAGAGCCATGGAAGAAGAAGAAGAAGATTAGACTGTTGGCAATGTAAAAACATATGTACACCTTCAACACAAGATGACTCCTACCTAATTATCAGTTTGTGAACAAAACAAATGAACAAACTGCAATTTAACATATACACTTCCCACATGTTCCATAAAAATACACAAACATTCATTTTAAACATTTTTTTTCTCAACTCGCTAAATTCTTTACTGGAAAGTAACTGCTGACAACAGCATAGATTTGCCTGTGTATTAAAAACTGATCTATAAATGCAATTTATAATCCTACAATACACAGTAAAATATATATTGGTTGTGATCACTTTTAAGATCACTATTTACACTACACAAAAACACTATATTTTGTAATTAAGCAAAAATAAGTAATTATTTTAATTTTCATATTCTGCTTTCTTACTTTTCAATAAAAATGTGTTTTTATATACTACTATAGATTTTCCTCTCATTCTTGACAGGCAATTATCTAGCATGCATAATATTTGAAAGAGACAGGATAATACAGGAAAGGTACTAAGCATTTAGCTTTTATAACTGAGTCAATGTACTGACCCTTAAGTGATTGAAACATGGTGAAATAATAAAAAACAACAACAACAGATTACTAGGTAGTAACGTGATGTTTCTACTGAGTATAAGATACTGCAATGGTATGCTAAACAACATAAAAATATGATAAATCATTACCTCCCCAAGAGTTTGACGCACTTGATTCATAACAGCCTGTATATCATCAGGGCTAGTAGCATATTCTCCAAGAATCCACAGTGCTGCACGATGAACCTTAACCGACTTAACTGTTGGGAAAGCATCCAGGAGTCTCTGCAAAGTTGTTATAATACGTGATATTTCAAAATAGAAAACTCAACAGGAATTTAATTACAACAAACATATGAGCATAAGAAGTCAAATAATTTAGAATTAAATTATACTTCTATTATAAGAGGCCGAAGTCCTTCAAACTTCTGAATTGCTTCCCGTACAAATACCAAAACATCAGATGCTGCAAGTTCATTTGTATCAGAAAGGAATTCAATCAGAACAGGAATTACAGTTGCTGCCACATCTGGGAACTGCAAAGAGCAAATACAGTATGTAAATCTTTGACTATAATATCATACATAAACTCAAACATTTTCTGTAAAATACTTTCTGCTCATCTATGAACTTAAGTGACAGAGGGAAACTCACCTTAATGCAGCAACTGTGTAGAGTTCGAACCAACAACTGGCGATATTTCCCAGTATCCTCATGTTCCACAATATTGTGTGTCTTTGCAACCTCTTTCTTTAGAACCAAAACCATTTCTTCAATATTTCGGGATGATACCAGTTCCATTGCTGTAATACATAACATACATATTAAAGGAAAGTAATATCTCCATTAGACTGACCTCTATTTAACCTTCCAATGCCATAATACATTTGCATATGACTCTCCACAGGATACAAAGGACCATAAGGAAGTACTAAGAAGTAGTTGTAACTTATTAGATGTTATCATTTCAGTATCTATCTTGCAAAGTTCATTCAAACCACAAATAAAAAAACATGGCGTGCACACAGTTCTTTTATATAAATTATCAACTCACGTGTTGTTTCTGCCCCATACACGTCTGCATTTGACCACTATACAGTTCAAAGTGTCAAAGATTTATGTTATTGTGCCATTCTGGGTTAAATGTAATCAGACCATCGGAGGACAGACAGCCTGCAGTTCACAAATTGCTCCTGAAGACATCATATTAACCAACTTCTGCATATTTAGATCTTATTAACTCACCAAGGTTCAAGGTCTTCTTCCGAACTTCAAGGTCTGGACTTGCCAGGACTCGAAGTATATCCATAACAAGGTCCTGCAGGACTCGTTCCTGTGTAGGATGCTCTTTCAATGCAATAAGGCGGTCTAATACTATCAATTTCACATTATTGTCACTTTCCTTGACAATGAGTTCAATGTAGCAGGATGCAGCTGCCTACAAACACAATAATAAATATCCACAAACCATAAACATTCTTATAGGTTCCATTTTTAACAAACATCAAAATTACAGTTGTACTTAATTACAGTACACTTGTAGAATGTAATAAGTGAAACAATGCAGTCATTCTGCAGCCACTGTTAACCAAAAATTCAGACTGGTAAATAACTTTCCACCCATTTATACTGATCCTCAACATTCCTCCCAGTATACAGTAATCACATTGCACTGCTATGTGTTACTCACAATTCAGATGACTGAATATTTATTTGTTTAATGAATTTCTGTAGTAATAAAATACAAACATTAGATACTAGGATTCAAACATGAAAGCAGGTGCACAGTGGTTTACATTTAAATAAACGAAATGTTAGCATAAACACATCCACACCTATCTCAGAAATTAACAATAGGAAGCTAAGAGACTTACTTAACTCAGAAATTTTTTAAAAAATATCTTAAATCCTATTAGTATTTTGGAATCAGTCCTTTCTCATTCCTCTCCTCAAACCTACTGGAAGATACCATGGTATATTTTGTCACGGAACAGCAGTACAAACAAACGTGCACTAAATGATGACCCAGATTTCAAAATAGTTTATACTATTCACCATCCAAGCAAAGTATGTAATATTAAGAGAACGTCGAGTATTTCACAGTAAATTATGAATGCAGAGTGCAACAGAAATGTGCAAAGCAATTCCTGTTTTATGTTTGCAGATTTAAGTCTGCTTTCTTACTTTTCAATAAAAATGTGTTTTTATATACTACTATAGATTTTCCTCTCATTCTTGACAGGCAATTATCTAGCATGCATAATATTTGAAAGAGACAGGATAATACAGGAAAGGTACTAAGCATTTAGCTTTTATAACTGAGTCAATGTACTGACCCTTAAGTGATTGAAACATGGTGAAATAATAAAAAACAACAACAACAGATTACTAGGTAGTAACGTGATGTTTCTACTGAGTATAAGATACTGCAATGGTATGCTAAACAACATAAAAATATGATAAATCATTACCTCCCCAAGAGTTTGACGCACTTGATTCATAACAGCCTGTATATCATCAGGGCTAGTAGCATATTCTCCAAGAATCCACAGTGCTGCACGATGAACCTTAACCGACTTAACTGTTGGGAAAGCATCCAGGAGTCTCTGCAAAGTTGTTATAATACGTGATATTTCAAAATAGAAAACTCAACAGGAATTTAATTACAACAAACATATGAGCATAAGAAGTCAAATAATTTAGAATTAAATTATACTTCTATTATAAGAGGCCGAAGTCCTTCAAACTTCTGAATTGCTTCCCGTACAAATACCAAAACATCAGATGCTGCAAGTTCATTTGTATCAGAAAGGAATTCAATCAGAACAGGAATTACAGTTGCTGCCACATCTGGGAACTGCAAAGAGCAAATACAGTATGTAAATCTTTGACTATAATATCATACATAAACTCAAACATTTTCTGTAAAATACTTTCTGCTCATCTATGAACTTAAGTGACAGAGGGAAACTCACCTTAATGCAGCAACTGTGTAGAGTTCGAACCAACAACTGGCGATATTTCCCAGTATCCTCATGTTCCACAATATTGTGTGTCTTTGCAACCTCTTTCTTTAGAACCAAAACCATTTCTTCAATATTTCGGGATGATACCAGTTCCATTGCTGTAATACATAACATACATATTAAAGGAAAGTAATATCTCCATTAGACTGACCTCTATTTAACCTTCCAATGCCATAATACATTTGCATATGACTCTCCACAGGATACAAAGGACCATAAGGAAGTACTAAGAAGTAGTTGTAACTTATTAGATGTTATCATTTCAGTATCTATCTTGCAAAGTTCATTCAAACCACAAATAAAAAAACATGGCGTGCACACAGTTCTTTTATATAAATTATCAACTCACGTGTTGTTTCTGCCCCATACACGTCTGCATTTGACCACTATACAGTTCAAAGTGTCAAAGATTTATGTTATTGTGCCATTCTGGGTTAAATGTAATCAGACCATCGGAGGACAGACAGCCTGCAGTTCACAAATTGCTCCTGAAGACATCATATTAACCAACTTCTGCATATTTAGATCTTATTAACTCACCAAGGTTCAAGGTCTTCTTCCGAACTTCAAGGTCTGGACTTGCCAGGACTCGAAGTATATCCATAACAAGGTCCTGCAGGACTCGTTCCTGTGTAGGATGCTCTTTCAATGCAATAAGGCGGTCTAATACTATCAATTTCACATTATTGTCACTTTCCTTGACAATGAGTTCAATGTAGCAGGATGCAGCTGCCTACAAACACAATAATAAATATCCACAAACCATAAACATTCTTATAGGTTCCATTTTTAACAAACATCAAAATTACAGTTGTACTTAATTACAGTACACTTGTAGAATGTAATAAGTGAAACAATGCAGTCATTCTGCAGCCACTGTTAACCAAAAATTCAGACTGGTAAATAACTTTCCACCCATTTATACTGATCCTCAACATTCCTCCCAGTATACAGTAATCACATTGCACTGCTATGTGTTACTCACAATTCAGATGACTGAATATTTATTTGTTTAATGAATTTCTGTAGTAATAAAATACAAACATTAGATACTAGGATTCAAACATGAAAGCAGGTGCACAGTGGTTTACATTTAAATAAACGAAATGTTAGCATAAACACATCCACACCTATCTCAGAAATTAACAATAGGAAGCTAAGAGACTTACTTAACTCAGAAATTTTTTAAAAAATATCTTAAATCCTATTAGTATTTTGGAATCAGTCCTTTCTCATTCCTCTCCTCAAACCTACTGGAAGATACCATGGTATATTTTGTCACGGAACAGCAGTACAAACAAACGTGCACTAAATGATGACCCAGATTTCAAAATAGTTTATACTATTCACCATCCAAGCAAAGTATGTAATATTAAGAGAACGTCGAGTATTTCACAGTAAATTATGAATGCAGAGTGCAACAGAAATGTGCAAAGCAATTCCTGTTTTATGTTTGCAGATTTAAGCATTTTCTTTATTACAGGTTAATCTCTGTGGTCACAAGCCTACGAATGAGATCAAGTAATCAGACCATGCAAAGACAATCTCATTTATCACATATACAACAATGATTTAATGAAATCAATAACAATACAGAGTAAAAATCATATTCTAACTAAATATACTGTTTTACCTTGATAGCAGTTGGAGCACTAGACAGTGTTACCAGGGTGCCAGCTGCTTCATAACGCACAGCCTGACTGGTTGAATTCAACAGATTGTAGATACATCTAATGAAGCGTGATCGTTCTGATGGGTTAGCATGGCAAACCTGGTGACCAACTCATAGCGTAAGCTTAATTATATGGAACATTTTAACATACTGAACATGATGAGGGAAAGTTTTAACACATGTCAATAAAATCATTATTTGAATCTGAAATTACTTACTCAAGACACATCAACTTTATCACAATGTGCCGAACAATAAGCAGTTTTGGCAATAATTCACAACAGCTACCTTCCTTTCAATATATTCTTCCATGTAGAGATAGCAATATGAACTACAAATAAAGAATTATGCATAGTTTACAATACCTTAAAACTGTCAAATGTTATTTGCACATTGCCATATTTGTGACTTAGAAAAATAGAGAGGAGAGAGTATAATACAAAATTTGTATTAAAAATGTATATAACAAATTTCGTATATCCTACAATAGTGTTACATCAGTAACAGCTTTCAAACAGAAGAGTAAATATGTAATTTGTAAGGTTACCATATTTCTAAATTACACTCTACATAGGACAGCCCAATTCAAAGGCTACATACTGCTTTCCTACATGTGCTTATTAATTATTGGCCACTGTGCAGGTGATCATGCAGGGAGAAAATACATTCCAGAGCAGATACAAACATGGCACAAAACCTCACCCAGCGCTGATAAAAACTGGCATCATCCACAAAATGTGCTAATGGCAGCAAATAGCAGCTCTCTAAGTGATGCATGAACAATATTTTGGTTCCCTTCTTTGAAAATTTAATCTAAGAAAAATACTTTCAATAGTATATACTGTAGAAAAATCAGAACAGGGAAATGGCCATCATGTTCCCATGTATGAATGTGTGTGACCTCTATTCCTAATATAACTTGCAGAAATAGGCATTACTTTGGTTCTCTGTTTAATTGATAACACTTTCATAATCAATTATTTCTCACTAAATTTTCTTTCTGGTAAGCATAGGTTAATTGTGTGTACCTTATAAATCAATTCCACGATGACAAGCTGTAGGATATCTCCAAAAGAAGTCACTTGGTCAAGGCAGGATGCAAGGTATGCTAATGCCCTTTCTTGATCTGCATGAAGCAACATAAGAAAAGCATTGCGTTTGCAGGACATATCCTGCTCACCCTCCAAGAAACTTGCAATTAATTCAGGTGCATCAGGAATAAGGAACTCAAAATTTCTGCAGAACAAAACACACAAAAAACAGTTTTAATAGACAGAGGAGTGAAAATTATGAAAATTTCTCTGCAACTACTAACAGTACTTCCTGTTCATTGCAAACACAATACACATATTATTTTTTGTAAATTTACATAGATTCAGTAACCTGTTAAATAATCAGAATTTGCAAAAAATGTTTCAAATGAGTCACGGACATTATTAGTACTGTATTCTTTAATATAAACAATTTTTTTGGATAACATCAATTTGATAAAATTTAAAAAGTTTAGTTTGAGATTAATTTAAAATAAGGTTTATGTCTCACTAACACATGCCACAATTAAACTCATCTTAAAACTTTTAATCCAGACCTCAAATATAAAATATCATTGAAATTCATTGGATAGATGCAAAGATGAAACATGCAGATGGAGACATAGAACTGACATCCCCATTACATGTTCACTTTTGTCATTTATGCAAAGAACACATAAAAACACCCCACAGCCACACACTCACGCAGAATGTCCCTGGATTGAATCCAGGCTTTCATGGTAAGAAGAATTCAAACTACAGCACAAGCAATAGTACTCACACATAATAAAGCTAGAAACAGAGTCCCTTAAACTTTAGCATACAAAGATTTTATTGTATTCTTAAAGCAGAAGATGGTAAAACAGCATTTACAGTATTACATATGATGACATATTACACCTGTACCTGTAAATTGTAAAAATGGCAAGGACAGCATTCCTTCTCACATAAGAATGCCTGTGTTCGAGGCAAGCCCTAATTGCAGGCATCAGTGGCTCCAGAAGTTCTGGCTCCTTAAGTTTACACAGAAAACGCAATGTTGATCCACGCAAGAACTCATTGGGATGCTGCAGATCCTGGTGGTAAACATAGACTGGGATTATTATGCCAATTATATCATTTCCTTCTTAAATAAAAATTCATGACAGTTATGAAAAAGTGGAAATGTGTTAGCAGGCCAAGAAGAAGAAAGAAAATGTAAAACTGCATGCACACAGATACGTCCAGAAGTTTTAGTCCTACATGAAAATGTCAAATCCTAATAAATAATATGCTAATCACATTAAGCAGTTTATGTCTTATGTTACACAATTTTGGCACATTATTTTTTAGATGTATTAGTTTAAAAATGAAAGGTAGAAATCAGGTAATATTTTACACATAATTATGTGCAAAAAGACATTATTTATTCATGCATATTCTTTTTGGTACCTATGAATAACTTTGAAAGACTACTTATATTTTTTTAATTTCTTTGATGTATAGTATCCAAGGTCATTATGGAACACCCTACATTACCTACCCATATTTACATCAGATTTTAATCAATTTTTTTAAAATACTCTTAGAAGGTATAAACACAGACCCTGCAAATGTGGGACAAATGTGAATGAAGGGAAAAAAACTCTTAGAAGGGTTTATTCTGAGACTTGCATAAGAAAATTTAATATTTACTCTAAAAACATTCAATACTTTAATGTAAAACCACCTACTTCAATCTAACCATCTGAATTACAAAATGATATATTATCTTTAAATCAAAATGTGTATCACATTAATGCTTTCTTCCTGGAATAAAAGCAGTTTACCTTCCTGTAAGAATCACAGACAAGTATCATCTCTTGCATAAGTTTGCCATCTGGAGTTGTCTTAGGAACAATTTCCCAGAATATCAACAATAATTTCTTTATCATGTGGTCTTGAAGTGGTAGCACAAAGCGGATTATTGTCATCAGCAACCCTGGTAATCGTTCTCCACTAACTATCATACGAATTGTTTTCTTCAAAGCTTCAATTTTTGTTTTAGTATCACCCTTCTCTGAAAAAATAAAGTCTTTATAAAACTACACAAATAACACTTAATAACACTACCAGAACAGTAAGAGAATTATAAATGTATTCTGCTACAGTGATGCACTTCATTTCCTACTGCACTGCAATTTTAACAACAATACATTCATATATATATAGACTTCATGCACACACCATTTTCATTAAAAATTTCCACCTGCAGATGGACTTGCTTAATTAAAGCTACTGTCTGACAAATGTGTCTTATTTCTTCCAGTGTGTGATCAACTTCAGTATACTTAACTTACTTCCATTTGATCACGTCATATTCAGTTATTTTCTGGGGGAACTTGACAGACAGCAAAAAAGTATTTTACAATCAAAAGAAAATTATTAGAATAATGGCAGGAACTTAAAGGAGAGTCTCATGTAGATAACTGTTAAAGAAATTTAATATTCTTCCATTAGCCAGTGAATACTTGCTCTCATTATTATAATTAATAGTGGACAACAACAAAATTTCAAACAAACTCAGATATCCACAACATATGTACAAGACAGACATAGCCTTAACATGCCACACATTAAACTCAGTAAACATAAATAAGGAGTTTGCTACACTTGAATTAAGCTATTCAATAATGTTCACTCCACTATAAAAAGTCTGGAGCACAATATAAAGAAGTTTAAGCCAGCACTAAAATAGTGTATCCTATCTCACTCCTACTCCATAGAAGAATTTACCTCAACCAAAAATTCTCAGCTATTATAAATACATGAATGCAATAGTGGTGATGCTTTCTTGTGTAATTATTTTTGTGGCAATACTGTGGCTGACTGTAAATCACTGTCATAAATGTAATCTACATCTATATTAGAAATAAGCATTGTATTTGTACTATGACATGTTCTACTTCCTTGGCTTAGGCCTATGAATGGTTTATGGAATGTAATTAAATTATATTATGTTCTATTAACCTTGTCATTTTAATCCTCATGTTACTTAGGGATAACACCTCCAAATGACCACCCAACAATTTTTAAATACTGTACTTTAACAGCTTTTACAAACCCCATATAAGAGTAGGTGCAATTACAATTTTATGGAATATGCAAGTTAGATCTACATCAAAATAAAGAAATGTTAACATACCAAGATCCATCTTCAACTGCATCTCATTGGGAGGATCAGAATCTGATGGCAGATTTATTAGAGTATAACATGGCTGCTCAACTGTAACCATGTTGAACCAATATAAACTACCTGCAATTAAGGAAACTTGCAATAAATAAAATAAATCCTACCTTCTAATTTATCACTTCTTTAAAAATGGAAATTCGGTTTTTTTAAGTGACACTGAATGAACACAGCTAGATTGTAACATCAAAAAACAACTATCTCCAAATGAAAGTAGTGGGAAGGCAAGAGTTAATGTGAGACTGTCTGTCACAGTGGTCAGCTGGGCCCTGGGTTTGAAAAGATTCTGATTCAACACGAGGGGTAAAGTGATCAAAGTGTGAAGCCTTACCACTCGCCTCCATTCACTGCTGAGATTAACAATGCCATTACTACATATAATTTCATGGATCAGGTACATTTTGGAAGTAAATTACCTACATCAAAACGTGTGACAAACAGCTTTATCGCACATGAGTAACACAGTGAACTTAAGCTTACTTCATCTAAGCTACGCCAGTAGGTTAATTTCAAAATATGTCAAAGCTATACTATTCACTAGCTTTTTTCATACTAAATGCTGCACATATCTATGAATTTACTTATTCCGAATTACAGAGCATTATCAAATCAGTGACAAAGAAGTAAAGGTTAGCAAAATACAGCAACGACCAAAAACATTATGCGTATTATAAAATTGCAGTTCTCTGTAAAATTAATTAAATAGCAATATCGCAAACGCTCTGTTTAAACTGCAAATGCATGCCAATTTGTATTCACAAATTAATCACCTGTAATGTAATAACACAAACACTTGACGTGTCAAAGTTATAGTTCCTTGCACTAAACGCTAGCGCCACGGTACGTCTTTTATTGAAGTATATGAAATCGTCATGACCAATTTCATAATGCCTGGAATCTTGCACGTGGTTATAATTCTTACCACGGATCACCATTACACCAGCTTCATCGACAGTCTTCCTCACGTTCCTCGTGACGACTGAAAATATACATAGTTATAACGGCTATTTTGTAAATACTTACAATTACTGACGTAAATACGTCTATACGGAAGGGTCATTCGGCAAAAAAGTGAAAGGAAAATGTGTAAGATCCGTATCAACAAATCGACAACAATGGTTAACTATGGAACGTCGTGTTTACTTGGCATTGTTACCTAGAAAAACGTGTAAGATCCATATCAACATTGTGTAAATATGAACCGACAACAATGGTCAGCTTGCGTGCATTGTTATGTTACCTTACTGCCGTCAACAATCCGCTTTCGTTATTGCGGAAAGAGCTGAGCTGTGAATCGCTTGTACAAGTGCGTCGTAGACTAGATAATTTTGACATTAATTTCCTTACACTACATTCAGCTACCTTCCTTTCATTGTATTTATTGCTTAAATATAATTTAAATATAGAGACGTATTTACGTCAGATTCTACGGAACCGTGGTTCCACTGACAATTTTTTCTTAATTTCAACTTAAGTAAATTATTGAAGACTGCTGTGTTCCAGGTTGTAGTAATGTATTCCCATAGAAGTTTACCCATGTTTCAGAGATGGCCATCTCTTATCAACGCGGTGATGAAGGCTGCAAGTACCTCTGAAACGTCGGTAAAATTTCACCAAATTACACAGTACTATACAACCCAAAACTCAGCCATCTTCATACATGCCACCACAAAAACCAAATCATGCAAAATAAATTCTTCAACAGAGTAGGAGATAAAAGATGTTATTGCTGGCTTAATACATATATGTGAACATCAGTGTGTAAATATTGGTTTCACTGCTTAAAGTCTGCAAACTCTAGCAAGAGGATCATGTAATATAAAGCTATATGATTTTCAATAGTTTCAAAAGACCATAATTAACCTATCATATTAACAGCTTTCCCTCATTGTTTTCCAATTCTTGTTAATACCCTCCATCTGCAGATGTACTGTCCTTGTACTGGTACCTCCGACCAATCTCACCATAACTTACAAGGAATAGGAACATCAATGTTTCAATCCATAATATAAATATCAATCAATAATGTGCTGCACACAGAGTTATATAACTAGAAAAGATATTTTATTTCTAGTATGTAATTCTTCCACTCTATTAGGTTACATCCCTTCTAGTTACAATCCTGCCTTATCATGATAATAGTTGTTTTGTAATAGTAGACCATGGCTATATATCACAACACTTCACAAAGTAATACTGAGCAAATGCTTCCTCTCAGTACCTCAGATTTCATCAAAGTACTGTGTAGAAGCAGTTTAGTTACAGCACATGTGAATGAAATAATGTAGTAGAACTTGAATCCATCTTCATACAGCACAGTATGTAAGATATGAAGAAAATTATCAACTTCTTCCATCTGATGTATATAATATTGTATTTCACATTATGGCTAAGAAATGAGACATTAAAATCTTAATTCAAAAAATGGAGTTGAAGAAAATACAGCATTATTGACTAATAAACGCAAACAATCGTTTTTATGAATTTCAAGTTTTCTTTTTCTTTTTCTTTTTTCTCTCTTCTTCAGAATTTGTATACTTCGAAAATTTTCACATTAACTCCTGCCTTCCCACAATTTAAATATCAACACAAGAAAACGTGAACACAATTTTATGATTTAAATTATTTCACTTAAACTATAACAGAAATACATGTCTTCAGTAACTGGTAAGAAGTGCTTATGCCAGAAGGAATTAGATATGCTTTATGGCTTTCTTACCCAGAACCAAATATTTATTATGACAAGACAAAAATTAATCACTAAGAATATAATTTAAAAAAATTAATTCATGACTGGCACTGTGCTAGATACAACTATACATTTTATGAAAACTGGTTCCTTCACCAAGGTCAGTTTATATTTTCTTGAATTAAATCTGTTGAATTACAATAAATTTCTAACATTATACACTGAAAAAACAAATGTTGACACAGGATAAGTAATGTAGGCAAAAACAGATCAAGTCAAAATACTCCTTCAGTACTGAAGTATTCTTACAAGAGTACTGTGCCCATGTAACATCTAATGAAATTGTAATAAATTATATACTATGAGAATAACTCCACCAGTTTGTTGCATAATTTAAATATATTTTGACATCAGAAGAAAAATCAATACGTTTAACAGGAGTCAAACTGCACACTTTGAGACCAAGAATGTATTTGCCATTGAACTAGTTGAAAATATTTATTATTTAAAGAATTTGATCATGTACAAATATCTGCAATGAGACTATTGCCTTTGAAACATTTTGACACAAACTGATGTATAACACCTAGGAGATTACATAATATAAACATACTATTATGCATATCAATCAGATGACAGGTAATTAATAAAATATACCCACAAATGTTAATGTGCCACAAAATAATTATGAAAATAAAACAATTTATAGTCAAACTCCATCACAAGCAAGATGAATGAAGGGTGAAGCTTCCTATATGGCCATGGTCAGGATTCTTTAGTCAGTAGCAGGAAAGATAAAGGAAGCAACAGGGTAATGTAAGTGGATAGCAAGATGGTTACTCTGTCTCCATAGCCACTGCAGGAATTGGGTCCTGGGGACCTTCTCCTCCTGGCGGAGGTTGTGGGGGTGTGGGATCCTGGCCTGTTGTGTCTGGCTGTCCACCACGTTTTTCTTCCCCTTCAATCATTCTTAGGTACTGAGCAGTTCCTTCTTCATCAAACACCTTAAATGAAGTGTTCTTCCCCACAATCCCTATTGACACATTCTAGGGAAAAGAAATTGTAAAGTTCACAATTTACTGCTATTAATATATTATCATTCATGAATAGGATTATAAAGGAATTGTACTGTACTTCAATTTTATTTAATATACATATATGTCAAGATCTATTCACATCTTCAGATTATCATTATGGTAACCCACCATTGTACTTTCATTGGCTAGCACATTCATTTCAGGTCTCAATCCATCATTGCTACAAGAAATTACAATAAATAAAATAATAAACTTGGTATAAAAACAACAACAACTGAAAATGGACATAAAATCTGGAACTTTGAACGTCAGAAATCTCTTTTGGTCAAGTTCAATAAAAAAGAAGTGACATAAATGTAATAATTTAAGTGAGATACAGTAGCACTATAGAAATATGGGACGTAGGTAGCACTAAACCAGCATATGATTATTCACTTCTGTATGGAAATGGAAATGATAATCATCACTTACAAGAAGAGCCAGTCGAATGAAACCCTATGCTAATGAAACTGTTTAGCCTAACTGGAATGCATTTAATCAAAACATATAATGTAAGTCCACAAAGGTAAACACTCGTCTCATGCATTTCCTATTAAAACTAACCTGAAACAAAGAGATGATTTACTTTACTTTAGTATATGCCACTAGGAAGATTCAAGAAAATCTGTAGGGACTGGAAGTAAACAGGACACATGAACTCTAGTATATGCTAATAATGAGACTGATTCAGAACTCTTATTCACCACTGTTTACAAAATCACTTAAAAATGTATAGTTTGATAAGTTACCAGCAGAGTCTTAAAATGACCTATGTTAATTAATATTGATATAGTTTGATGATTTTAAACCAACAGATCTAATAGGGCATATTACAACTCTGATGATTCTCTTGGAATCAAAACATATGCTGACATAGTTAATAACAATACTGAATAAAATGGTTTAACATTTATATATATGTTGTACTAGCTACTACATAGTTCAGAATCTTTGTCTTCCTGCCTGTTATCCAAAACATAAATACTAAAATATACAAAACTATAATTTTACCTGTTGCTTTGTGTGCATGTGAAATGCTGTCTCTCACATAAACAAAGAACACAGACTGAGGCTGCTTGAAAATAAGGTTCTGATCAAAACTGCATAATGAGAAGCTTCATAATTTATATTATTCAGCAAATATTATTATAGAGATCAAATCATATTAGACAAACAGGGCATACACCATGCATTGTAGACACAAAAATGTGTGAATGTGTACAAAATTTTTGTTGTAAAGCCTGAAGGAACAAGTGTGCTCAGAAGACCTTGGCATAAATTATTGCATCTTTGGGATCCATGAAAGGTGCACTATGCTCTATGAAATTAGATGTCATCAAAGTGAAGGACAAAATCATAACCTAAATGCAGCTACTAGTAAATCCTTTCAAAATCTGGCAACCAAGACAATGTACAATGTCTGACATAAGCATGCAAAAGCTACAATGGTACTGAACACTCTTAAACTTGTCCAGCATTTTTTGAGGGCATTATATGGTAAATTAACTTTTAAAACTTCATTATATGAAAAAGAGTAAAGGGCTGAGAATACCTTAGTGTTGAGCTCAACTTCATTGGGCAACGTGTCACGAAGTGCCCGTAAACCATGCTTGATCAACTCGTCTGTGTCACAATCTAGGAACTCATCGAGGTGCTTCTCAAGGTATGTGCGGGCACTCTGGGAACGAGAGCCCACTGCCATAGCTTTGCAGTCAAAATAATTGGCTGATGGACAGGTCTGATACACATGGGGACCTTGGTCCTACAGAAGATGGTAAAGAAGCAAGTGAAGTGAATCAAGTATATTATAAACCTAACAAAAAAATGGGGGAATTCTTATAAGGGACTGTTAATGTAGAAAAAATCTTACCTCTTGGAAATTTCTACACATTATAAAATGTAACTTGAATGTATTTTAACACAGTAAGTCTCAAGAACACGTAAGTAAGAAGAACATAGAAATTTTTAAATGCTTACATCATAACCAGATACCAAGAGTCCAACACCATATGGTCGACGGTCATAACGCTGAGTGCATATTTGCATCTTGTTTCCAAGGTTTGTTATCAATCGACCAACAGGTAATAAGGCATCATGGGAATATTTATGATTCAGACATTCAGTTCTCATGTAACGACTAAAACAGAAAATTACAACTTTTTGCATAACCATAGAGTATAATTACTTAATTAGTGAAACATAGGTCAGAACCAACTCTGCACTCTGCAAAACATTATCAACACATGTGGCTCTACTGGAACAACTTTACTATATGGTGATTATGAATACCAGTCAATAACTTATGGATTACTTATATTAATTAACATACTGCTAACACAAATTGTTCTAACCTACTGAATCATCCTGTCACTTAATACGAGTTTCATTTTAGGTTGCTAGACCTAACAAATAATTCAAATGTACCTAACACAAAGGTTACTCTACTGTGAAAAAACATTGTCCTAGGAGGATAAATGGGAGCAACGTAATCTGGCCACACTACTCAGAGTTAACCTTTATTGGCCATGTGTAATACATCAAGTAGAAGACATGGAAAACAGACATGATGAACTCTGTCATCCATGGCTTCTACTTCAGTCCAAGTTATGGACCAGCTCTTTAGCTGTTTGTACATTCCATAACTGCTGGTAAAAAGAAAAAGAAAGAAAGAGAGGTCACTTCAGCACTGCTACAATCCTGATACTGTAGGTGTTTGCCCAAACAGCATCCTCCAGGCCCTACAATTAT